CGGCAGCAAAGAATTGAAATCCCGGCGTAACACACGTCCCTCTTGCCTGGGGCACCCCAGCAGGATGCTGCAGAAGACGTGCCAGACTCTGCCATCCCTGCAGTCTGCCTCTAGCGTCACCTATTATATGGCTTGGTGCAAGGGACTCACTTGGCTACGTGGGCTTCAGATGCCCTCGCAGGACTGGTGGAGCCCAAGAAGATGCACAGAGCCTTGCTGCTGCCCACTGAAACTCCCAGACGTGCATGACACCCCTCTGTGCAACCCTGGGTACAGGGCTATCCCTGGGCTAGTGGTTTCCATGTTCTCTCTTGGTCTTCTTGACCGGTTCTTCTCAGTCTGGCTTGGGTTTTTCCTTTTTTTTTTTGCTTGCGCATTTTCATTACCTTTCTTGGTGGGTGCAAGCAACTTCTTTGCTCAAGAGGAGGCGGATTATCCTCAAGGTCTCTCTATGCTATCCATGCTTTTACACCCTGGGCGGGTCCCATTTCTTAACCTATTCCTGCTCTCTAAGGACAATCTATGCCAAGAAAGCAACCCCATAAACCACATCGTAGATGTCGCCTTCTCTGAGAGTATCTTTACTGTATCAAAGTTTTTTGAGAGCGCTTCTGTGAAACTCCTTTGGGTTCGTGTTTTTCACGAGGACATCCCGGGTAGGATTTATCTCACCCAACCTTCCCCTTCTCTCTGTAGGACAAACAGGCACCCAGGGGAGTCTGTCCCACCCTAAGATGGATGGCCTAAAGGACTCCCTGAGGAGAGTCTCTCCATTGAAAGATTCTCACATTTCTCTCCATTGACTACAGGGGCAGCCTAGTTGGCTAGGATGGACCCCTAGCATTTAAACAGCTAAAATTAGTTAAATCCTCCCTAATGGGGCAATTACTACAGCTGTTTAAAATAGCTGAAAATTTCCTAGTGGCATGTTTTTTTATTTGGAAAATTCAATTGAGCTGAAACAAAAACTTTCCAAGGGAATGTGTGGATTTCAACAAGATTTTCCACAGAAAAGAAAAGTACTTCTTTTGGGTAAAAGTGCAGCATTTCTGGGGTTTATTTCAGTTTTCTTTTCTAATACAAACTCCTGTCTCCCAAAGATGGGGACTGTGATGTACGAGAAGCAAAAAGAAAACTCCAGAAAAACTCCTCTTCCTGCAGGGATTAGGTGCTGCCTCTCACATGGGTGCCCCCTTCACTGTCTCCCCATGCATCCAGAGGCTGAGCTGCTGCCTACAGGATGGACATGCCATGACAGGAGATAAGAGAGAAACACCTCTGGCGCCACCAAGCAGCTTGGAGGCATGACCATTCCTCTAAATCAGGCTTTCCTGATGTTTGCCACACCAAGGCGAGGACTGGGAACGATGCTCCAAAGCATCTTGTCATGTGCAGAAGGAGCACATGCAAAGCCCTTCTCCAGGGACACCATGGCTTTCCTCCATCTCCATCCTGGTGGCTCCTATCCTGCGTATTGGAGCCTGAACTGCCCTCCAGCCATGCCTTGATTCCTGGAGATGCCAGGGAGGATCAGCGTGCCTTATGCTGATGCTCTTAATTGCTTTTTAGAGGCACTATGTCTTCTCCACCATCTCTGGGGTGTCCAAGTGTCTTACCTTGGTGCCCTGAATCGCTGTGGCAAGGACATGTTCCTATTGTTCATGGTTATAACAGCTTCGCTGGTAGTTTGAACACGGTCCTCGGTGAAAACAGAGCCACCAATTTCAGTAACACTGCCGGATGCGGTTGACTCTTGGTTGTCAAGTCTTGGTTGGAATGGCAGATATGCTAGTTTTAGCCTGACCATTTTGAACTCGTGACTGCTTTCCCATAAACTTGCATTTTCATCATGCCCAGGCCAACATGCAGGAACACTGCTTCCCTGTTTGCTTTCCTTCCCTATTTGAACACAGAGGATGCTGCCAGCCTCTGGCCAGACCAGCTGCTAATAAACTTGTGGTTTTTTACACTATGGGACTCTTTTCATTTTACTCTTTCAATACGATGGCCTCCAGGGGAATTTGAGGGTGGCCAGCACACATGTAGAGTAACAAAGTCCTTTCCAAGGTTTTTGATGTGAAGAAATGCACCGAAAGACCATTCCAGAAGCACACGAAAACACCAAAAAAAGCACAGCAGATCTCTTTCTTAGAGAGGCACCCACAGTAACTGGCTTTATTTAATAACCTTGCAAAATAACAGGGAGTTTAAAAACAGACCTCTGGTGATGTGCAGAAGACAGCACCAAACCTTTTGGCAATAGCCGAGAGACCGGGACCTTGGCAATTCGGAGAAGAAAGGCTTTAACGAGGTGGCCACAAAGGCCTGCTTTGTGCTCGTTTTGCAAGCATCTATTGCACTCCAATGACTACTGAGCACTTCACTGAAAAGATGTCTTTATTAAAAAGTTTTAAAATCCCTCAGCTTCTTTTTTGAGGCAAAGCATTCAGAACAAACACCTCAGACAGCCAAAAAAGTTATTAAGTCAAAACAAAGGGTGAGATTTTGTTTTTCATCTCAGAAGTGTGAATGGCGAGGAGTGAGCAAGAGACTTTTTCAGGCCTTCTTCATATTTTTCCAAGACAAAAACCACAGTCTTGATTTCAGAAGTGCTTTTCCGGTCACAGTTCAGACCTTGAGAATTCTTGGATTTGACCTGTGTGACCATATTATTTAAAGAAAACTCCCTGATAAAGCACTACAGCCTAAAAACTAGCACCTAATAAATAATATTCTGATCTCAGGATTGCTATTAGAAAGGATATTCCCTCTTCTTATACCACATTCCCCCTAAAATTTACTTTGGATATAATACACAAACCAGAGCTATATTCTGAAACTGCCACTCAGCTCTCGAGTTTCCATCATCCATTGTCATGCAAAGAGGCTCCTACTTCCATCTCATTTTCTGAAAGCAGAGACCTTGGCCGTGGTTTAAAAACTCACCAGCGTTAGGAAGGTTGCCTGGTCCTTCCAAAGGGCTGGTTTCAGTGAAGTACTTTAATGGATGTTTAACCTCAGCTAAATTATATCCTAAACAGGGGCCTAGGAGAAATCTTCTACTCCAAAAACATAAAGACATCTACAAAAATTTCCAGGTGTGGGCTCGAATGCATAAAGACCAAGCAATTCATTTAGCAGAGGAACTCAGATATTCCTCGTTAAACACAGAACCTCATTAGTTCATGCTGTGATAAAGAAAACTCATTGTGGACCACTGGATGTTACCACTGAGCACTTTAGCAAATACACGGGACAGGAAGATTAATCTAACCCAGTACGTCCTTGGTTCACTTATGACAGTGTTGTTCTACTTCTTTTCTTAAAGAAACTTCCTTGAAGAAAGAGTGAAGAAGGCTCCTGGCTCGGGCAGAGCTGGCGTAGGGGTCCCTGTTGCACCACGGCCCTTTTGCAGGCCATCTCGGCCTTGTCAACAAGTGCAAATTACTCCCTAATATCTGCTTCTGAACAACTTCTTTGACTTAGAAACAGTGAAAGATCCTCTTCTGCCAGAATAAGACGTGTCCACACTGGAAGTTATCATCTGATTCAATTACATTCTCTCGTAATCCACACCATTAATTTTCTATCAGTCCCTCCCTATAAGACAGTTCCCCCGCCTCTTTGCTTCACGTAGATGTGCCGTTCAAGCTCAGCGTGACCAAAACAGGATACTCGGTTTTGCATTCATGCCACCCACCCACTTTGCCTGCTTCCCCATTCAGGATCCACTGGACCAGCTGGGCTCTAGCCCACGTGTACCGTCTTCCACCTAGCCCTTTCTCTGTGGCCGCAGACCGGAACAACCGGAGCTGTGGCTTGGATACGCTTTTGGCCAAGAGACAACAGAGGAAAACAGGAAGGAATGGAGAGACAGTGTCCAACGGCAGGCAAGGAAGGGAGCTTGGCAGCCTGGGCTCCTGGTATCACACAGGAGAGAAGACACGACGTGGGTGGAGGCTCTGTGAGTGAACACGAATGGCCTGTGCTTGATACAATGCAAGAGGGGCATGACGCGTTTAAAGCAGAGGGCTGGGAAAGCTATTTTTGTACTAAATCTCTGCAAGGAGGCAAGAGAATTTGCCCCAGTCAGGGACAGCAATAGAGAACAAGGCTCCAGAGATAGCTCTGAGCTACCGACGATGAACATCATGTTACCTATCTGCGCAGTTGGCAGGACGGATCAGAGGGACTACGAAAGAGCATGTGACTGGCTTGAGAAATGAAGAGTGCTCTGCTAGCCATGCTGGTGTGAACCAAGGGGTGTGTGGCAGCAAGGCTGCAATTTCACTGGGCCTAGATGGAGAGAACTTTGGAGCAAGCAGCGACAGACGCCTATGAGTCACCAGGGGTGGGACCCGAAGTTGTACTGGCAAGGTAGATGGGGAGTAGTGGAGATGGGAAGAGAAAAAAGAATGGAGCCCAGCCAACCTTTCATGGAAAGCTGGAAGTGGGAGACAAAGGATATGTTGCAATGGACACACTGCAACGGAGCAGAAGATAGAGCTAAAGGCCAGCTTGGGAAAGCCCAGGGAAAACAGGATTTTAAGGAGAAAATTGTGGCTGATGCTGTTACAGGTAACTGGCATATCAAGGATAAGGGGGAACAGTTCCTGCCTTTGGCTGGGAAGAGATTGCTGCTCTCTAGAAGAGCCATTTCGGGGTAGTGAAGGGAAGGGGAAGGCATGCGATATTCAGAAAATATTAAAAACTGTCAACATGCAGATATCACACTGAGGAGGATCGTAAAAATTCCTGGGATGAGTTTTAAAATATAATTAACAGCTCAAAAGTACTTCACGACATGGAGAAACATTCCCAATGTACGGTGTGAAATTAATGGCAGAGTTAGTAGGAGGAGAGCTTAAAACAGCCCCCTTCCCAGGAAATTATTTGCGGTCAACCACGTGGAGACTGCTGGGTTTAGTACACTGAGCAGCAAAAGGTAAATCCTCCTGCACCCTTAAACACATTATCTCCGTACTCAAAGTTGGTTTTACCTGGGGCATAGCCGGGGCTGCTGGTTGGATACATGTTTGGGTTGTAGGCTGGGGCAGCTGTGGGATATCCCGTTGGATAACCTGCAAGGAGAAAAGGAGAGAAATTATGCTATTGGCAACAACAGCGAGAGAGAAGACAGGAACCCTGAAAGCAATGAACTATCTATGTAAGCAAACAGGCCATCGGCACAGCTGAGATGTAAAGCACAAACGTTCTCCGACAGCTGGGGCACAGGAAGGACTACAAAAGTGCTCTACAGGCTTTCATTTGACACCTTCAGCATTTAATCTTTATTCCCCTGGAAAGCCAAGACAACACCGACCACACAGAACGCAGGAGTGTTCAAGGCACGCTGAACAAAACAACTGAGAAAATACACGCACCGAATGCAGAACTCGGCTATGAAAAATCACAGCCACAGCTACGTTTGAAGGGTTTTCCTTGGCTGCTGGCAGCCCTGTTAGCTTGATGCGTCACAGATGCAGGGCAAAAGTTTAAGCTTGACGTCACGGCTTTAGCTAACCCAACACGGCATTAAGTGAATAATTCCTGATGTTCAAATTATTAAAAAGCAAACTCAAACCCAAGCTGGGAAATGATTCTGCAGCTCCTCCACAGCCAGTGCTACGAAGCGCTGAGCTCCCCCTCCTCCTCCACCAAGAGCAGAAAGCACTAATTTACATCCCAACGGCGGAGCTCAGCTCCTTGCCCAAGTCAGTCCTCGGTCCTCAGAATTTCTATTAGCCAGAGCCTCTTGCTAAAGGGAAGGTAAAGACTTTGCATGAAAACAGGCCAGCCCTCATAGTCACTCATCACTACACAACTGCCAGTCCAAGGAGGGACCCAGTTTCCTGCCAAGCCACCTGGAAGGAGCACACCAGGCACCTCGTACCATTTGAAGCCATCATGTAACGCAAGAGGTTTTAATGGGCATTTTAGAAAAGGTTACAGAGCATCTTCGGTTTCCATCATCTTCATCCAAGCAACCTTAATAGCATATATGGCAGACTTAAAATTCATTACCTATGCCCACACACCATGCAGGCATCTTGCATCAGGCTCTTAACTTCCTCGGAGGTCCTCGTCTCCCTTGAAGGCCACAGATGACAAGCTCTGCGCGCCAGTCTGCCTGCCTTTGCTTTTGTTCATTGCACTTTTTTTGGTTTTTGGAAGTTTTACCAACTGAATGTGGTAATGCTCAAATAACTTTGTTCTTCCTTACATACTTCCTACATAAATCCCTCTTACAGATCGAATGGGACATGTTAATCTTGGCTTCCTGCTGCTGAGTTTGGCTTTGTTGCGCTTGGAAACCACACTGCCGTTTCCCCGTTTATCCATATATCTACCTTGCCTTCAGCCCAGAGGCAGATCCAGTTCGGTGGCACACAGAGTGCACCCTCAACAGCATCTCCACGCCAAGCTCCACTGAAGCCGTCTTCTGCTTGCCAGTAAAGACTGGAAAGAGGTAATTAGCAAAAGACTCACACCCCCTCTTTTGTGCTTTATTAAATAAAAGCAAGCGTGGGGCTTTCCTCCCCCTTCCCAAACAGGAAGACAAACACATTATGATCCCTCCCTCCCGTGCCCCGAAGTATACCATCAATCTACTCTATGCAGGTCTCTAAAACCTGACACCTAGAGCACAGCCTACGACTGCAGGAAATTTTTAAAGTTAATTTGAATAAATCTAATTCAACAGTCCTGACCACTGTACTGGAATAAATGACTGTATGTTCTACCCGCTCATTTTCATCAGTGATATATTTGGCGTCTAAATCAGGTTAATTAAAAATTGCTGCAGTCAATGCTGGATAAGCAGCAGTTTAGCAGGTTTTTATTTTAGATTGTACATAAAACCATGCTGTCAACACATTTAGGAATATACAGCATTTTAGCAATCAAGAAGCTCCTCAGAAAGTTATTTGTAGATTCAGTGATTGCGAGCAGAACGTTAACCATGAAGATCTCAAATAAAAATTGCCTAATTTCTGGCCCATTAGAAGATAACCATTTCCTTTGCCAGCACATTTACAGCTCCAGGATCCTCTGGCTGCCCATTCTCACATCGCTCCTGTAACCTCTGGCCTGCGAAAGACACCAAAATGTCAGCACTGATTCCCACATTTACCAATGGGGAGCACAGCCCGGCTGTCTGGCCCAAAATGCTCAAGCTCCTCCATTCCTGTGCTCCTCACCAGCTGCATGGCATCCCCTTCACTGGTCAAGGCTGCTGGGACATCAACCACTAATTGATTATGGATGACATCTGGATGAAAGCTTCCTGGGGCACCGAGTATTTTCACAGAACCACAGAACGGCTGAGGTTGGGAGGAACCTCTGGAGATCATCTAGTCCAGCCTCCCTGCTCAACCAGGGTCCTCTAGAGCATATTCCCCACATTGTGTCTAGATGGCTTTGGAATATCTCCAGGGAAGGAGACTCAACAGCCTCTCTGGGCAACCTGTTCCCGTGCTCTGTCACCCTCACACCAAAGAAGTTTTTCCTCATGTTCAGATGGAATTTCCTGTGGTTCAGTTTCTGCCCGTTGCCTCTTGTCCTGTCACTGGGTACCACGGAGAACAGGCTGGCCCCATCCTCCCGACATCCTCCTTTCAGATAGTTGTACCCATTGATGAGATCTCCCCTCAGTCTTCTCTTCTCCAGGCTGAACAGGCCCAGCTCTCTCAGCCTTTCTTCAGAGGAGAGATGCTCCAGTCCCCTCATCATCTTGGTAGCCCTCCACTGGAATCTCTCCAGGAGTGCCATATCTCTCTTGTAGCGGGGAGCCCAGAATTGGACCCAGCACTCCAGGTGAGGCCTCCCCAGGGCTGAGCAGAGGGGCAGGATCACCTCCCTCCACCTGCCCGCAACACTCTGCCTAACGCAGCCCAGGATCCCATTGGCCTTCTTGGCCACAAGGACACATTGCTGCCTCATGCTCAACGTGTTGTCCACCAGGACCCCCCCAGGTCCTTCTCTGCAGAGCTACTTTCCAGCAGGTCAACCCCCAGCCTGTACTGCTGCATGGGGTTATTCCTCCGCAGGGGCAGGACCCTGCCCTTGCCTTTGTTGAACTTCATGAGGTTCCTCTCCGCCCACCTCTCCAGCACGTCCACGCCCCTATGAATGGCAGAAGATCTCGATCCACCTCACTCTCCACTCCTCTAACCCACACTTCCTGAGTTTACCTACAAGGATGTGATGGGAGACAGTGTCCAAAGCCTTGCTGAAGTCCAGGGAGACAACATCCACTGCTCTCTCCTCATCTACCTAGCCACTTGTCCCATCAGAGAAGGCTAGCAGGTTGGTCAAGCATGATTTCCCTTTGGTGAATCCATGCTGACTATTCCTGATCACTTTCTTGTCCTCCACATGCTTAGAGATGACCTCCAGGATGAGCTGTTCCATCACCTTTCCAGGGATGGAGGTGAGGTTGACAGGCCTGTAGTTGCCCTTTTTGAAGACTGGGGTGACATTGGCTTTCTTCCAGGCCTCAGGCACCTCTCCTGTTCTCCAGGACCTTTCCAAGATGATGGAGAGTGGCCTAGCGATAACATCTGCCAGCTCCCTCTGCACTCATGGATGCATCCCATAGGGGCCCATGGACTGGTGGATGTCAAGTCTGCCTAAATGATCTCTAACCTGATCCTCCTCCACCAAGGGAAAATCTTCCTTTCTCCAGACTTTCTCCCTGGTCTCCTGGGTCAGGCCTTCCTGAGTGGCCTTAGCAGTGAAGATTGAAGCAAAGGTGGCATTCAGTAACTCGGCCTCCTCCACGTCCTCTCTCACCAGGGTCCCTTCCCCATTCAGTAGTGGGCCCACATTTTACATCTTTGCTGCATGTCCATCCCCCAAAATAGGTCCTGAATCCCTGTGTGCTCCTGCAATATACCTTAGTCCTTAAATCAATGGAAAATCATGACACTCACAGTCCCGTGTGGTGACATACTGCAAAACTTTCAGTTGTGCCCATCAATCACCAGCATTCACCATCTATCAAATTCAGCAAAAAAACTTTTCTACTCAGACCAAAATTTTCAATGTTAGATTTATAAGTAAAAAAACGAGCCTGAAATAATCAGGCCATTTTACTTTAGGGGCCTAGGGATAGGTCCTTATAGGAAAATGTGGCTTTTAGCAATGTTTTCCTTACAGGCAGTTATTCAAAGACTTCATGCTACTTCAGGCAGATGGAGAAGACCTTGAATTTACACGTCTGCTTTCTCTTTTTTGGATTTAACTTCTGCTCAGTAGGGCTGAATCTTACTTAATGTGATAGCTTTTGTTGCTTTGAAAGAAAGTAATGGACATTTTCAGAATACTTTTGTTTCAAATAAGTACCATTTCTATCAAAGAAGCATTAACAGCTTCAGACGTGAAAAGATGCAGTCAACCCTGCTCTGCTCTTTCTTCCTCCCTGATCGCATAAACCTTGATAAGTCCTGACCTCCAGCAAGAAAAACTGTCTTTTCTAGTTTAAGGGGAAATGGGGATGGGGAAGGTGCAGGGAAATCAATGTTGATTTGTTCCTTTCTGGACATACTGAAAGATAAGAAGGTATCAAAATCGCTGGTAATTTGGGCCAGGGGAAATGTGTTTGCAAATGCTCTGCATGCAGAAGTCACTAGGTTTAAAAATATATGAGACATGTTTATACCTTATTTGCCTACTTGTTTTCTGAACCACTGTGATTTATGTTTGCTGGCTCTTCACCACCACAAAAATGACCATGAACCAACTTCCTCAAGAATGTAAAAGCCACCGTTGATGGCAGACCCATGATGGCAGACCCAGGGGTATAAGAAAAAGCACTGAAGCAGCCTGGGTCCTGCTTCAGCTTCTCCCCTCGATGTCCTACTTGACCTCATGTAAGTCTCTGTCTCTCCCCATGACTCTGCTCCCTTTCTGCCACATCCGCCTTGTCTCTTTACCTTGGATCGGCAAAAATCACACAGCGAGCAGGGCAAATCACTTGGTACTTGTTGAGTTCTAATGAGTTTTATGGGCTGGCAGCTGGAGACTGAGACTGCAGCTATGAAAAGGTAGGGACAGAAAATGCCCTTTACTTTGTTTGTAT